TATTTTGTCACCTGCATCCTTTCTTGCCATCAGCCTTACCCTGTGCCTCCTTTATGGAGGAACAGGTAATTAGTGATGAAGGTGTATGTGAGCTGTACCTTATGGAGGGGCTGGTAGAAAGTAAAAAATGGCACAGTAATTCCAAAAGCCAGTTTCTAGGCTGTTCTAGGATTCCCTGTTATGGTGAACACAGAAAAGTCCCTTAAGGCACGTGTTAAGAAGAGTTTCACACTTTCAGTCATGGCAGTGAGAATGGGCACCGCAGAAGAAGCCCTGCTGCCTTTTGGGAGGAAGCGGAGGGAGTTGGGTTGGTTGAGGAGCTGGATTTGTTTGCACAAGGCTCGGTCCTTGTCTGGAATCAAAATTTGAAGCTGAACCCAGTGTTGTTGATCGGTTTTGTAGGATTGAAAGTAATTTTTTCCTCCCATACCTTCCAAAAACTCCTCTTCCCTTGCAGTGGGTACTTTACAAGGTGTAATGAGATGATTTGAGCGTTGAGGTTGGTGTATAGGGGATGTGCCCTTGTATTTGTTTTTTCCTCTGTTGTATATTCTTTTCTCTTCTCTCCTCAGCCTTGTTTCTGCAGAGCAGCTGAGGATTTCAGTGGCATGGGGAATTCTTGGAAATCTAAGTTTGTTAGCATTGTTGGCTGAATGCTAAGTAATTTGATTTGTAGAGTTTTTAACAAAGGTTTGCTTCCTATTTTGGGTATGTGGCCGGGTAGGAATCCTGACAGAAAACTTAAACCCTCAAATCCAGAAAGAAAAATACATTATAAAAGGGAGTCTGGAATTCTAAGATTTAATATTGTCAGTGGATAGAGGAGGAAGGTTGTTGTGTTTGGTGGGGGTTTCTTTTGTGATAAAATGAATGGTTTATTAATGTAGTGTTTCTAACTCCTCTTATTTGCAAGGCCTGCTCTGTGTCTGGTTGAGAGGGCTGTGAATCTTACCTAAGCAGTTACTAACAAAATGTCTGTGCAGATCCGAGTTTCCTGGAATAGGTCAAACTCTTAGAGGATCGGTGGAAGAGTTCCCTATCTGACATCCCGCGTATTTTAACTGTATGCTGTAATGTGTTCTTCAAAGTGATTTATCTCTGCATGGAGACGGCAAAATGCTGTTTGTATCTGTTTAGTGCTGCTGATCTTTATTTTGCTTGACAGCAGGCACATTTGATTAATGTTTTAGTTGAAGTTTGGGGTTTTTTTTTTACCTGTGTGATCCTATTATCCCTGTTACTGCTTTCCTCTTCACATACTTACGTATATGTTTCTCACTGCATGACCTTCCTGAAGTACTGAGCAAAAAGAACTCTAAAGTAAAGTTCAAAAGAATGCATTTAAATTAAACAGTACTGAAAAGGATAATGTAAATCAATATTTTCTTCTACAGAAATTAGGATATTGTATAAGATATAGGTGACCTTGAAATGTTGACCTTAACAAATGGTGCACACCACATAACACAAATATGCAGCGATGACTTTTGTCCTCAGCATCTGTATAATGTGCTTGACTTCTTATAGCTGCATTATGATCTGTATAAAATGGGAAAATGCCACTATGAAAGGTTTAACTGAAAACTAAAGGATGCAGGGAGCAGGGACCTTTCTTTCTTTGACTCCCCTACAGCAGAACTTAATAGGAAGCTAAGAAAGGAAGCCTCGGTAAGGTTCCTTTTGCTGAGATTTTCCCCATTATATTTCTGCATATTCCTGCATCATGTGCAGAGGTGGTGTACGGGGCCTTGCTGCAGTCCAAAGTCCAAAGACCAAGTCATCCTGAGAGGACTGCCTACCTCCCCATTACTGTTCCCAGATTAAACTGGGCAAGTTAATTCCACTAGATCCTCCAGCGTCTTCCCTTTCAGAGGAAGGAACTTGCATTTGGAGAGTTTTCCAAGATAATAATGTAGTCTTAAACCTTGTTGTATCCATGATAAGTCTGCTGGCTTACATGTAGGTTACATCTTCTTTCCTGTGGACTGCCATGCACATGCTAAATTTTTCCATTGCTCCCGTCTTGTTCAGATCACTTACCTGTTCTTGCAACAGTGTTTGTAGGCAGTAGAGCCTGGGTGTCTGGTAAAGGGGAAAGGATATCAGAGGCAGTTATTTAGATCTGAAGTTGGAGAAGGGGAAGTTGATGGGAGAACATCCATTTTCACTGTCCACCTACGGTATATACAACAAACCCTATAGACTTTGTTTACAACAAACCTTATAGACAGACAAACCCGACAGACCCTATAGTCAGCCTAAGGTATCAGACATGAATAGATTGATCAGTTTAGAGTGCACAGCAGTTATTACCTTGCTAGCGAGAGTAATTCTAATGGTGGGCTGTTTATCACAAATATTCATATTAAATAATTGAATCTTTAATGGTACAGCATTCAGCAATGTTAGCTTTTACAGGTAATGAACCTAATGTAGTTAAGAATAAAAAAGTAATACTGGATGAAATTGTGGTAGAAAATTTTGGTTCTATTAAATGAACTATGTAAATATAAAGCCACTTTCAGTAAAACTTAATTGGTTGTCAAAAATATGAGAAAAATATATCTATTTGAAGAAATAAAACTGTCTTCAATACAATTTAATCAACTGCCAGATATGAAACATCTCTAATTTCATTAAGATGTCCCTGATGACCATAGTTATTTTCTCTTGTCATAAATAAGAGGTTCTCAAGACAGAATGATAGCTTTTCTTATTGAATATCACTTTTACCTTTTGTCGTTACTGCCCTTTTTCTGGCACTGCTGTTTGAGGGCTGATGTACCTTGCACTTGGCCAACATATTATATACATCAATGTTTCTTTTTCCATCCCGATCTCCATGCTCCTCTTAGTTTTTGTTATGTGATCAATCAATGTTTCTAGATATTCCCTCTTCTAACTTATGTTTTATTCTAATTTGAGGAGATGAGGAGTGTCGGAATCTCTTCTGGTTCAATTTTAAAAAGACTAGGCAGCTGCCAAGTAGTCTGTTGCGCAGTTGTATTTGGATAACCTTCCTTGCTTATAATACAGGTACATACGCTCAAATCGTTCACCAAGAAGAGCCTGAGAGCAGTGAAAACATGCTCTGGAACTAAGGTGTCTTTCTTCCTGAATTTCTTTGTCCAGGAATGATACTCGTATATATGAGAAGGGGGGAAAAAAAAAAAAAAAGAGGTCTATCATTGGGTTAGTGTATCTTTCTTCATATGCTTCTGTTCCTAGCAGCTCTATTTCTATGGGTTTTGTTTTGTTTTTTTTTTCCTGCCCCCTTGCGACATTTTCTTCCTTTTTTTTGTTTCCTAGCTGCTAACATCATCTTCTCTAGCGCTCTTTCCATTACAGTGTCAGTCTTTTCTGGTCTGAATTTTTCCTTTGCTCTTTTTGTAATCTGACCCTTGTAAATGACACATTGCTAGGTATATAGAGAGATCCCACTTCTGGTCTAAAATTAGCTTTCTAGTCTAAACTTGTCATCTAGGCAACCTCTGTAATCAATAGTGAAAGATAAATAGCACAAGAAGGCAATTCATCACATTTTAAGATTATGTTGAAACTGGAGGGATTAATTGCTGTCTGGGCCACCTGTCTCTTTCTGCTGATTAAAGAGAGCACCCTAGATGACAATCTCGGATGAGGTACCTGACTTCCAGATGGCTAAAATTAGATGAAAAGTATCCTGCCTGTTGTGCAAGGAGTGGCACTGGTAATGCATTGCCTTTGTAAGGTCTGTCCTATGGAGGTAAAAACTGCATAAAATCAGAATGAGATGGCACTCGCCATTTGATCTATTTTTTTTTATTATTTTTTTTTTCCCTGAACTGATTTGCGGCAATGCCAACAGTTATATTTGATTTTCAGTAGTGACTTCAGCAATGCTGTGACATTCTAGAAATCAAACCCCTACTATTTGGTTGGAATAGTTAATATTATCTCCCCTATGAGGAAAGGCTGAGAGAGTTGGGCTTGATCAGCCTGAAGAAGAGAAGACTGAGAGGGGATCTCATCACCCCGTACATGTATCTCAAGGGTGGATGTCACAAGGACAGAGCCACTCTTCTCAGTGGTGCCCAGTGACAGGACAAGGGGCAATGGGTACAAACTGAAGCGTAAGAGGTTTCAGTTGAATATGAGGAAGAACTTCTTTACTTTGAGGGTGACAGAGCACTGGAAGAGGCTGCCCAGGGAGGTTGTGGAGTTTCCTTCTCTGGAGATATTCAAACCCTGTCTGGACGATGTCCTGTGCAACCTGCTCTAGGTGAACCTGCTTTAGCAGGGGGGTTGGACTGGATGATCTCCCGAGGTCCCTTCCAACTCCTGCCGTTCTGTGATTCTGTGATACGGCTCTCATGAATTTCTCACCAAACTGCAGAATCCATTTCATTTTTGACATGGGGAGTTAGAAGCTTCGGAACATTTCTGAAAAGGCCACACAGCACTGTACAACAACGTAATTGGATACACACCCGGTTACCTGAATCCCGTTGTAAAACCATAGGGAACTAAGTTTACTGATGGATAGTATCTACTATTGCAGTGGTTGTTACTGAAACAGCAACATCCCCACACAAGGTGTCCAGATAAGATTTGATCTTAAAAAATCAATAATTTTTGATTATCAGTGCTGCACATAAGGATTTGGAAATATAAAAATAAAGTTTGGAAAGACATACAAAACTATTCATGGGCAAATACTGTATGGAAAGATTTTGAGCAAAACTATATGTAAGAAAATATTTATTGGTTACAATTATTTCAGTAGTAAAAATGGTATTTATGCTTCTATGCTTGCTCTTCTTTTAACAGTGCTGTAACTCACCACTGAACCAACACGCTGGGAACAGTTCATAGCATCAAAAACCTCATCCACGTAGACTGATGCCATCTCTCCAGTCTCCAAGCACTGTGAACTGAAGCCACGAATCTTTATGGAGTTTATATCGCTTGGATCAAAGGGAATGTTTTTCTGATATTTAACGAGGACCCTTACTGCCAGTATGACGAGCCAGGAGAAGTGGGTTAACCTTAGTCCTGGAGAGTTCTCTCAGCTTCAGAAATATGCAGAATGTAAGTAATTTTTAAAATATGTTATTTTTATGGCTAACTAAATATTTTTAATATTTTGAATGCAGAATACAATATAATATTATTGATACTATTCACTGTCAAGTGAGAGGTTAAATTATGGTTTATGTTTTTTTATCCAAAAGAGCTGTTCTTTGGAGGGAAAAAAAAAAAAAAAAGTTAGGGTCTGTAACTTTTTTTTTTACTGAACAATTATTAAATTATTATGCAGTATGGTACCATGTAGACTGACTATGGGTTATGTGTCTGTGGCTATTTAGAAAGTGTATTTTTATGGCTCTGCTGCCTTAAATTCACCATAACAATTTGTAGGCCAGTAGAGTGGGGTTTGTAGTTAAAAAAGGCAGCTTGCTCAGTCATGGAAGGAACATGGAAATTCCAGGAGAAACGCATTGAGGTGTTCGGTATGATGTTTCCAATACTATAACCAGTGCGCAGGAGGAGTTGTCTTATGAAAGAGCAGGAAACAAAAAACTCCTCAAGCTGCAGAGCCAGTTCTTTAGTTACTGCTCAGGCAAAGCTTCCTTTAAGTTGGCTGAGCAACTGAAATGTCTCAGAATTCTGTGCTTCGAGGACAGATACTGAACATGAGAATTTAGATTTAGGAGGTGGTTTATGAAGCCCGATAAGAACTGCACTGGAAAAGGTCAAGAACATTTAGGAAGTTTTCCTGTATGATATATGATCTAAATATATGTTTTTAAAAACAGAAAATCTCATATAATTTATGAATGTTGTTGATTTATTACTAAAGGAAACATTTGCATATAAGGTAAAATGAAGACTGCTGTATTTTTTTTTGTGCCTATGACCTCACATTGTATACTTCATTGTATTTCAGTGTAATCATCTAACAGAATAATGATTATTAGAGTTAGCTTTAATAGGACGTTCCTCTGGGATGTGATTGAGATTCGTAATATTTTCCTTATATCAGGTTAAGCCATGAATGATACTTTGAACAATACTTCCTATAATGCAATGTCATTGAACAAAAAAAAAAAAACTAGGTAGAAATACTTACATGATGCTTTCTGGAACAGATGTATTTGAGTCTCACAGTTTTCTAAAATTGCTATCTAGTTTAAAGTATCCTATTAATTAACAAAGTATGTTTCATTCCCATGCCACCTACTTGTCTTAAAGGATAAGCTATAGAGGTGAAGCAGATTTGCTCCATATACTGCTTTAAATCCTTGATGATGTTGCCAAGTAAGGAGCTATTTATTCAGTTTCTTATTTCATGGTGGAGTATAAGACATTGCTACCTGTCTGGTATTTAATCAGTTAGGCCCTTCTCCTAAAAGGCACCCTTAATGATCTAGTATGAGTCTGAGAAATGAAAATATCCGTGCTTTTTAGTAGTTCTTCTATTTGTATGTAATGCACAGAAACGTTAAATAAAGGGAAACAAGATGCAATTACATGGAGCTTAAAAAGAAAACATCCACGTTTTGTATAGATATTCCATTGCTTTCAGAGACCATTGCAAAGAAAATCTTGCATTTCCTATGTTTGATATGAATAAGCTTGTTTCTTTTAAGTTACGTCAGCAAATGGATGGTAAACATAGTATAACAGTCTTTTAAAAAAAGTATTTACTTCTGAAAATATTTACTTCTTCCTGGGAAAATTTTTAAAAATGATACTTCATTAATTTATTCAATATCAGAAATTGAAGACTTATAATAGAGAGAGATAGAATAGTTACCTTTTTTCCTATGCATTCTTACAATTTAAGCCTTCAGTGCAGTGTTTGCCAACATATTTGTTGTCTTCCTTATGAGAAAAAAGGGCATTTAATATATTGCTTTTCTTAGTGCTTCTCTTTGCTTCTCCAGCACTTCTTGCACGCACCATAGTTCAGAGCCTTTGCTTTAGTAGAACTATTGGTATTGGGATGAGGTATTTGGTGAAATGGCTTGTATTTGTTTGTGTGTGTATATAAAAGAAAGACAAGGTGTCTTTCAAGCTTCCTCTCCGTGTCTGGAATAGAAGGATGTTAGTTGTCCAAAAATGTGAAATGTGATGCATCTTTGTATAAGTAGTTAATTTCTGAGGCAGTTAGAAAAAAAAATATTGTTAATAGTATCTAGACTTTGACACACAATGCCAAGGGAATATAACCCAGATATGGACCTTATTTTGAATTTCTGAGCTGTCCAATTTAATTTTACTGTATGACTGAATAGCAGTATCTTTAAATATGTGATTTAAGACTTTAAGATGCAGTTTAAGAAACTAAATATTTAATTGGATCCAACATTTTTGAATTTGATACACGCCTTTACTCATTACTGTATTGTAATTAAATTCTGTGGAATTTTATGAGTGTATAATTGCTTTGATATTTCATTGTCTTTGTTGAACATGGCAATATTGCAAACTGAAAAATCACCAAATTTCTAGTAGCGTTTGGCTGGCTTGGTAGAGTTTAATTAAAAATAAAAATAAAAAAAATAAAAAAAAAAAAGGCACTCCACGCTTCTCGCCAGCATGTGACTTGAGGTCCCCATGGGTCTCCTGCAGGAAGGAGAGATGATCTGGGTGTCAGAAGGTAATGCTGTAGGGAGGTTTGACTTTGTCGCAGTTGCTGGCATTGGGTCTATCGGACGTGGGGGAAGCTTCTGGCATCTTCTCACAGAAGCCATTCCTGTAGCCAGCCCCCCCGCTACCAAAACCTTGCCATGCAAACCCAATACAACAACAAGCTGAAATGTGAAAAGAATGGTTAAGTTCCTTATACAAACATACATTGAGTTATTTTTTTAATCTGAGTCAATTTATGCAGGTATTTGATAGTAAGATATGAATAAGACTGAAAGTAAGTCATACAGCCCTTCAGATAGTAAGACCTACATAGTTCTTTGTGATGTATTAGTGCACGCACATTTTGGTGTGCAATTAAAAAGTAATAATACTGAATGGTAAAGACTTGAAAGAAAGCATGAAGAAATTCTTAAACAAAGTGTTAGAGAGGAGTGTACTAGACTGACCTGAGCACAGTGGGTAGAATCCAGAGTTCACGCTTACACCTCTATATCCTATTGCTGTGCTCAGATGCTACGTGTTCATGATTCACAGCATCTGCTATTGTTGATGCAAACCAGAAACTTTCAGTAGGTGCGCCCAAAGAGGGAGTGTGTTGAGGTGCCTTGCGCTAAGCAGTAGGAAGCTTTAAGCACAGGGTTGTCCTGGTTTCAACTGGGATAGAGTTAATTTTCTTCCTAGAACCTGGCATAGTGCCGTGTTTTGGATTTAGTACTAGAAGAATGCTGGTAACACACTGATGTTTTTAGTTGTTGCTCAGTAGTGCTTAACTCCAGTCAAGGACTTTTTCAGCTTCCCTTACTCTGCCAGGGGCACAAGAAGCTGGGAGGGGGCACAGCCAGGACAGCTGACCCCAACTGGCCAAAGGGCTATTCCAGACCATAGGACATCACGCTCAGGGGGAGTTAGTTGAGGGGAGAGTGATTGCTGCTTGGGATGGGCTGGGCATTGGTCAGCAGGTGCTGAGCAATTGCATTGTACATCACTTGTTTTGTATAGTCTCTTAGCGTTATTGTTATTACTATTGTTATTCTTTTCTCTTATTAAACTGTCTTTATCTCAGCCCATGGGTTTTACTTTTTTTTAATTCTGATTCTCTCCCCCATCCCACTCAGGGAGGGGGGAGTGAGCGAGCAGCTGTGTGGTGTTCAGCTGCCTGACAGGTTAAACCACAACAGGGTGTATTTTGATTTCTGCTTCTCTTTGGGGCCTACAAAAATTTGGTTAAGAAAGTTTGCTCATTTATTTTCAGGAGAGGAGTTGGTGTTCTGCATTTCATGTGCCTATCCACCCAGAAAATACTTCCTTTAAAATGTGTTTGCTGGTGATTTGCATATTTGCTTAGTGGTCTGAAAAAACCCTTGTGGGAGTTCCCTTCTCAAGCTGAATCCCCACAACTGAAGCTGGCCATGGAGTGAGATAGTGTTTTGCTGGTGTGACACCCTCAGCTGCTGCCCTCCACACAAGCACGCACCACCTATCTGGTCTGATAGCCTTAGTTCTGATCCAGTCTTGGAAGGGGCGGTAATCCTGATTATTCTACTGCATGGCAGACAGTGCGCACTTGGAGAACTTGAGAGATTTCAGTTTGAGTCTTTTGAAGTTGAACCTCAGTTTGAACACATATTCTCAGCCTTTCCCCTAACCAGAAGGCAAGCCTCTCTCACTTCCACCTGTTTTATGAAGATGACTGTTGCTGCCAGACTTTGCTGAAATCAGTCACATCTGCAAGTATCATAGTTTCTGTGAATAGCAGAGAACAGGTCCATCCAGGTTCTAAGTGAGAAATTAAGTGCGTCGTCTTATCTTTAGACTGTAACAGAACTTAGGAGGAACCTAGATGAGTTGCTTCTCTTCTGCATCAACTTACTTTAGTCATGTAAAGAAATTATCAAACCTTCTTGAGATACAGGCTGCACAGATAGTAAGCTTGAAGTACTTCCAGAGTTAGGTTATGTGTGCAGAACCCTACTTCCAGAGTGTGGATGTTATAGGTCCAGCTCTCCTGGGCTTACAGGTCTGAATTCAACCTAAATCCCCTTTTTAGTCACCATAATAGGTGTGTGGATCTTTCGCTATGAAGCCCGTTAAACTCCTCACATGGATTCTGGTGCTTGGACATGGATGTGTGCTTGCTACTTTCAGACTGAAACACACTTTACTCTGGTTCGGTGTAGTTTCACTTTTAATTCATTTTCTGTCAGCTGGATGATAGCCTGTCTACTCTTGCAAGTGTAGTTAAACAAGGCCTGCTCCTAGCTCTGCATGCAAGATACTGTCCTTGGTATCCCATTAAGAAGTTCCTACCACATCTTGTCTGCCTGTCGTCTTCATCACATATTTATAGTATGATTCTCAGCTTTATCCAAGTGTATTGCCTGGTGAACTCAAACCCTGAATGTAAAATTTCCTGAATACACACCAGAGTTTCC